CTGCACGAAATCCTGCCCTGCAGCGGCGTGGGGTGGCCGCGGCGCCTGACTGCGCTGCCGTCTTGGGTGCCCGACTGGTCGATTACCGGGAGGTCTGTCATTGCGGCGTTGCCGAAGGGAAAGAGGGCGTATCAGACCTCCGGCGGGCTCGTGAACAGAGGACCCGTCGTTCATGAAAAGGGTCTTGAGATTGAAGGCATCATTGTCGACAAGATCGATCGTATGACAGAGGAACTGGAGCGTGCGGCCGTGGATCCTTTGACACATCGCATTAACAGCACGGCCAACATGGAGAGGTGCAATGCTTGGATCCTCGCGGCGCAGGCTTTGGCTGCGACTATGAGTGGAGATACGTACGCCAACGGTCAGAGCCACGAGGAGGCTCTCTGGCGAACTTTGGTCTGCGACGCCCCATCTGTCGGGACTGGGGAGCTGGCCAGCGGAAGCGGTATGGACTGGCCAGCCGACCCCGTGTACGGATTATGGTATCGATATGGGATGCGTCACCTCGTAGAAGTGCCGCTCGATGATGAGGATAGGGCACTATCTCCGGAGGAAACTCATGAGCGGATGCAGCTAGGATCCAGATGGGTGACTTCGGCACAGTACCGATGCTATTCACGGCGGTTGGCTGTCACGGAGAAAGGATACCTCGCTTTGATTCCGCCACTGGCAGAGGTGGGTGACATGGTAGCAGTGATACCAGGAACGGCGGTGCCATTCATACTGCGGGAGAAGGGTTATGATGATGACATGAGCGAGAAGGTCTACACCTTGGTCGGCGAGAGCTACGTACACGGGCTCATGAACGGAGAGGCGGCCGACGAATCGAAGATCGAGATCGTCATGTTGAAGTGAGCGTTGCATTTACGCAGCCGTGCGAGCGCGCTACTTTATTGTCTCTTGACAAACATTTCTCAATTGCACAACTAGATTCAAACTCCGAGTTACCTTTTCAAACAATGTGTGGACGGCATCTTACTTCCGAGGACCATCGGTAACCTCCGCGGCCGGCGCCGTGCCGGCCAGCCCAGGCGCATCCACAGTCTTGCCTTCGTCAGAGGACTCATCCGTATCATCTAGAACATGCTCCTTGGGCCTTTCAGGCACGAGGAAGACAAGCCATGATGTTGTTGGAAGCGACAGGCTGAACATGACGCAGGCAATGATGAGATTGGTCATGGGCGCCACCTTTGCGGCGCCGACGCCGAAAGCGAGACACGAGCCCAGAGACTCAAATGACCGCACAAGACCGACGGCGAGCGTGAGCGTCTCGATGTCGTCAAAGAAGGTTCCGAGGATCCAGTAGGCGAACATGTAGTGCGACTCGTTCATGAATCTGCAATCAATCATCAGCAACCTAGATTCAGAAACTGCAGAAGGCCGACTCACCGGAACAAGACCTGCACCGCGAACCCCCTGCCGAACCCGGGCAGATCCCAATCGAGCGTCACAGGCGTCTCGGAGGTCGAGTACTCCTTCTCCATGGCGAACTGCCAGCCAAACAACGAGACCATGGTGATGGCGAAGAAGAACCAGGTAATCTTGGCGAGCTGCGGGCGGCTGAAGTACTTAAGATCATAGAACCAGCCCCAGAAGATGTTGGCGGTCGTGGCGGCGATTCCCGAGCACAGCGACGCCAAGGTACGGGAGCGCACGGAGAAGTAGCGGACTAGGTAGATGCCGAGATACGTATTATTCCAATTGAAGCCGACGAGGATGGGGATGAGGAGGCAAAACTGGCGCGTGCGCAGCAGCTTCCACCACTTGCGGAACTCGCCCATGATGGCCTTGTTCTTGGTGGGATCCGGCAGGCGGCGGCCGTCGGGACGGATGACTTTCTGCGGGGGGGAGATGAGGAGTGCCAGCGGTAAGCCGAGGCACTGCAGGGCGATGAGGACGAGATAGGTCGTGTAGCCGACACGGCCGCGCTGGCCGCTCTTGACGTTCATGGACAGCTGGATGGAGGAGCCGATGAGCTGGCCGAGCTCGCGGAGACCGAGCCAGATACCCGCTGTCATAACATGTCAGAAACAGGCAGAGAGGGGCAAAAAGAGTCAGGCCGCAACGTACTGAACTTTCCCCGATCATGGACATCGGCGTAACCCAGAGCGATGGCGCCCTCGGAGGCCCAGAGAGCAGAAGCTGCGATGCCGCAGGTGGCGCCGCCAAAGAGGACGAACCATTCGGTGCCGTATCGGTTGTTGACGTACAGGGCGGCTGAGTAGGGTGCGTAGCCCAAGGTGCCGAGAATAAGCACCGTCTTGAGGCCGATCTTGTTGGCGACAATAGAGAAGATGGAGCAGCCAAACACCATGATACCAAAGGTCAGGGAGTTGGCTCCGTTGACAAGATAGGGTTCCTGCTGGCCTCCAGCACCCGTGTCTGTGCAGGGTCAGCATGAGCTACTCTACTTGCAAGAGGTCGACCTACTGTTGAGGGCATTCCAGATACCAGGCTGCGTGAACGAGATCAAACCGACGATGATGACGTTGAACAGAGGGCTGCGGTACCACCTCGTGAAGCGGGAGACAGGCTTCACAGGATGTGTTTCCTCGGCGCTACCCTGTTCGGCAGAGAGAGTGACATGCTTCTGATGGGCGTCCTGCTCGCCAGGTCCAGCACTTGGTGTTTCTGTGGCCATTGTCACAGCAATAGAACTGGCTGTCTCTCTACAAGGCAGAAGCAAGCAATCAAGACGGAAACGATGCACGACAACAGGACTTTTTCAATCAGACAAGCTGCGACAGTCCTCCAGTCCCTCTTAACCATCCTCCATGTCGATCCTCTCGTGGCGGGTCTGCAACATTGCTATCCTGAAAAGGCAAGTGACATGGTCGTGCGTCGCCAACCCCCGACAGCGTCCCAGCAGAATCTGCAACGAAGGCCATCACGGCATCATTCAAGGTGAGAGCAGTGGGTTATGAGTGGCTAGCGACGGCACGGCTGGGTTGCGTTATTGAGGAGCAGTCACTCGTAGATCTTGCATACGCGAGGGTTGCGACACGGGCGGCCCCGTCAGCGAACCACTTCTTATCTTGCTGGTGGGCATGACGGGGTCGGATCATCGAGTCACAGGCGGCGCTACTGCACCGGCGTGCTTGGAGCCGTTGATGGCGACATCGCTTCCCTGCTGGTTGGTGCAGTGTACGGCGGCCTTTTGTGAGTTTGGGGGTCTCTGGTCAATGTGCTAAGGGGGATGCTATCGGCGAGGCTCCGACAAGGTGGCAGAGAAGAGTCTGCCACATGGCTCGGGCGATTGATTCATGACGCCGATCCGTCTCGGCGGGGGAAATTCGGGCCCTTGGCGTTGGCGACTCAGTGTCATCGCCGTGTACCTCCGTATGGAGGGGCCGTGAAACTCCACATTTGGAGGATGGCCGGCGTGATCACATCGGCATTACGATGCTGGAGATATCGGGTTCTGTCTCCCTCACTGTCCTTGATATTCTATGGTGTAGTGAGTCTGGGCAACGAGCATCAGCAGTGAGGAGGAACCGCTTGGCCAAGGGACAATTCGGTGCCATTTGTAAAGCAGCAGGAGTTCTCTGAAACGAAATACTAAAATGATGAGGAATGAAACGAGACTTTCGTAAGGAGCAATCGTTGAGCCGTTGGACCCTGGCGGCCTCAGCAACTCGGTTCTGAGCACCATTAAAATAAAAGACACGCCAGATTGAGATCTGAAAGGGGCACGTGATGACCACGTGTGGGAGATGGCTCGAGATCGCAGTGACCACACAAAAGAAAAGAAAAAAAAAACACCATGGCCTCTCGCTCAGGGCATCGTCGCCGGAATTTCGCGCATCTTCGCGGACTTTTTGTCGGTCGCCCAGTTGGGACATATCTCCCCGCCCGCCAATCCACGAGTGGGCATCTATTCTTGCCAGCAGCCAGCCTTGACAGCCTCATGGGTGGCTGCGCAAAGTCGAGCAGCAATCGGCAAGGAGACGGCACATATATGCCGCTGAGCTACCTTGTCCCTTTCGACCTCAGCCCCCCTCCCCCTCCTCTGCCTCTGTTCTCTTGTACATGTACAGGGGCTCCAAGCTTGCTGGCTAACCAACTGCAGCCAAATCCTGCGTTGGAGCCGACCTTTTTTTACTTTACTGAGTCAGGCGAAAGCTACATTTGGCTGACTCTCTTGATTGCGGCCCCATGTCACGTCTCCTCTCTGCCACTTTACCCAGAGAACACCATAGAACGTGCATTTTTGTCTCATTTGCGCCAAAAGTTTGACAGTTGACAGCAGCATGAAGTGACAATCGCACAGCTCTTGAGCTTCCGTGGCGTTTGCCATGCAGCTGAAATAAAGACCGTTCCATTCAGGTTGCCCCCCTCTCACCCAAACGGCCCCCAGCATTCCAATCCAGCCGCACTCCCATCTGACCTCCCTTGCAATCGGGCCACGATGGCATGCCAGCCGCAGACTGCGCCGCTCAGCACCCAGCCCTACGAAGCCGTGGTGGCTTGGGTGTCAAAGCTAGACTTCTCTCGGCCGCCATGCGCATCCAGTGGGTTGGCTCCACGGGGTTTCTCAGCCCCCAAGCCTCTTTCGCGACAAGACGTGCAGTCCGACCATTGAGTTTGGTCGTCAGCAGGCAAAGGAGGGGGGGGGGCGCGGCCGGGGTCCGTCCGCCGTTCCATCCTTGTCCATGGGAATGGCTGCCTTGAAGGGGGGGAGGAGGAGGAGGGATGTCAAGCGAGCGAGCGCATTTAGTCCTGGCTGTCCCCCCCAGGAATTTAAGCGCGCCCAGGGAGGAATGTGTTTGCCGGTCCAACAAGTTTTATTTGCTTTGCTCACTTTGTCAACACCAAGGAAGGGAACGACTCCTTCAAGCTCGCGATAGTGTGGACGTCGATCAGCGCGGCTCCAGACCAACAACCGTTGAGCGACTTGCTTCTCCTCAGCCCGTCCAACACAGTTCACACGCGCGCGCGCGCGCATCTGCCACACAGCCATCGGTCGCACGTCGCACGACGCACGTCGCACGAACGCCATGCGGTCTATCCTGTCTACAAACGCCTTTCTGGCGCTTCTCTCCCTTGCCGGTTCGGCCGCTGCCGTCCTGCCGACCATTTCAGAATGCGTCCACGGAAAAGGTGCAGCCCTCGCGGAGCTTGCGTCCTGCGGTCACGAGGGCTCTCTCGCCTACTGCTTCACCAGCCTCCCCGCCTTCTTCGAGGCCTCGGACCTTGAATCCTGCCTCGTGAACGCGGGCTGCACGCCCGCCGAAGCAGCCATCGAGGCCCTCTGGACCCTCAAACGCTGCGAACGCGCCGCCGGCCACAGCAAGAGCGGCGAAGCCGACAGCAACAAGGTGGCCGACCTCCGACGCCGCTCTCCACAGGCCGCCGCCACGCCCGCTACAACGCCGTCGCCAACCCTTCCCCCCGTCGCCGACGGCTTCGCCTTTGACGGCACCTCGATGCGCCCCTGCTCGACGACGACGACGAAGAGCACGACCATCTGCCCGGTGCAGACGACGGGCACGGCCGGCGGGCGCGCAGCTCTCGTGCTTCCCGACAGGTGTGCTCAAGGCCAAGTGCGCCGACGACATGTGGTGCGCCAAGAAGCCGGGCCACTGCAAGGTGCTCAACAACAAGCTTGACACGTCGGGCGTCATCGTCGCCATCCTCTTCTCGGGGGCCATTGTCTTCGCGGCCCTCGGCATGTGCGTGCTCTGCTGGCGCGACAGCAAGCGGCAGAAGGGCATCCGGGCGCGGGCCGAGGCCGCGGCGCTGGCGGCCAGGGAGCGGGAGAAGAAGCGCGCCGCGGTCGACGAGGCCATGGGCGCGCCGCGGGACGGCGGTGACGGCGGTGTCAAGGCGCCGCTGATCCAGTCGTATGAGGAGGATCCGTTCAGGGAACACCAACACTATTGAGGCCTCATCTGTTCCTTCTTCGTCTCTCTTTTGTTTTTTTCCAATCATCATCACATAGCATGGAATGCAGGGCTGAAGGACAGGGTCATGGCGTTCGCGTGAGCCTGTTTTCGATACATGATACCTCAATTGTACACCGATCTCAACACAGCCGGTTTCCCTGTGATCAAATCGTGAGAACGAAACCTGACGTGACGAACATGCTTTGAGTTTGACACGAAACTGATGCGAGTCGCGAAACGGTCGGGACGTTCGGGAAGAGATTACCTGGGCCAGTATGAATTCGACAAGGGACGACCCATTGGCGGCAAGTCCCGATGTCATGACTCTGCGGAAACTTTCTATCTTTTTCAAAGAAGCAGCAGACCCGCTGATCCAGCTCAGTGGGTAACAAAAACGAAGCAGAAAAAGGCAAAAAGAAACAGTCGTGTGTGACGCGTCAGGAATTGAGCCCAACGGGGGGCTCGAACCCCCAACCTTGAGATTAAGAGTCTCACGCTCTACCGATTGAGCTAGCCGGGCAGGCAGGTTGCTTGTTGTTGGAGGAGGGCTCGGGAACGGGGATTATGTGTGCAAGCTTCGTCGTCAAACTTTGCCTCATGCTGAAGCCTCATGCTGAAGCCGCAGTGGTGCACTATCAAGGTACGAGGCGGACTGTCGTGTCATCCAAGCTCGGGAGGAACCGATGAAGCCTGGATTCGCGAGCCGCAGATCAGAACGAGGGTATTCTGAATTTGAAGTAGAGTCAGATAATCGTAACTAATCGTAATCGTAACGGCAAGGGAAGTAGATAGGAACGCGCCAGAGGGTGACGAAGTCGGCCATACTATAGAGTCGATGCCTCTGTCCAAGTTGGTGCCTTCAGTTGAATTAACGACAGAATTGGAGACCAGCGAGATGATGAGTGCCGAATGCATAGGTCCATGACTTGAGGACAGATCACAAACGCGCATGCAGACAGCAGCTTCCGTCTCGTGACGAGGCCGAGGAGACCCGCAATAGTACCCCGCCACAGCTGCCCGCCACAGGCCGAACACGACGTCATCGCTCATCACGGCTCGGATCGTTGAAACGCGTCAAGCGGCGCTCTGAACGCTCTACGATTGCCTATTGCCTGCCTGTTTGTGGCATGTTGCATGCTTTCTGCTCACTTGGTGTGGCAGCTCATCGACTCCTTATAAGTCTAGCTGTCTCGCCGTTTTGTCTCCGTCGCTCTCCTCCCAACCCCAACCTGCACCTCTCCAAAATCCACGACAACCACCAGATCAGCCATACAGTAAACACCATGCCTCTCGTCGTGCCAGGAATCCAGAGCCAGTCGGGCGACCTCACCGAGGAGTGGACCAACAAGCTCGTCGGCAAGACGCTGCACGACGAAAAGTCCGACGAGACAGTATGTTTTGGTGTTTGGTGTCCACCTGAACCGCCATCCCCCAGTCGCTGACATGTCTAGTGCTTCTGCAAGAAAGACCTCCCCGAGAAGAGCCGCGTCATCAAGCCTGGCCAGATGGTCACCAAGGATTTTGACGAGAACCGTCTGAACGTGCACGTCAAGGACGACGGCACCGTTTCCCACGTCGAGCGTGGATAAGCGGGGTATCGTCATGGTGGAGCGTGTGCCACAGCCTGAAGGCCACGGCTTCGAGAGCAAGCGTTGTACAATAGCATAATTGATGAATCACGATACACCAGATGATGATTGTCCGTATTCCAAACAGTCATCTGTCGAGGCAACCCCCGCTATTTGACCCGCACGCCTTTCTGCATCTCGGAGCTGCCATTGCATAGCCGAAGTCTACCCCGCCATCGCCTCCCCAGCGACCGCCGCCGTGGTGCGGGACAGTGAATCTGAACCTGCTCAGGACGCAACTCACCTGCTCAGGACGCAACTCTCCAAGTCAACACCAAACCCGACCTTCGCGACCCTCCTTTGGCCATTCTCCCAAATCAAGCGATACGACGCGCCCATTCCCTCTTGAACCGATCCCTATTCAACACCGCCATAATGTTCAAGAAAGAGTGTGTCCTCTACCCAAATCTCCCACTTCCAGATTGCCCCAATCTACCTTCAAAGCTCATCCAGCTAACGTCCAACCCCCCCAAACACAGCCTCCCCGTCAACCCGAAATCCAAGCTCAAGTCCTCCGTCCAGCGCTCGATCCGCCAGTCCGTCCTGCAAACCTACCCCCTCATCGAGCCGCACATCGACGAGATCCTGCCGAAAAAAGCCCACCTCGAGCAGATGAAGCTCCCCGACCGCATCGCCCTCTACATCGTCGACTCGCAGCCCCTCTTCTGGCAGCAGGACAACGACACGCTGCTGCCGCACCTCAAGCTCGTGCACCGCTTCCCCGGCGCCTTCCCGACGCTGCGCATCGACCGCGGCGCCATCCGCTTCGTCCTGTCCGGCGCCACCCTCATGGCCCCCGGCCTCACGAGCGCCGGCGGCCGCCTGCCCGACCCGCAGGACGGGCCCGAGAGGGCCGAGGACGGGCGCTGGACGCGCGAGCTGAAGAAGGGCGAGCCGGCTGTCATCATGGCTGAGGGCAAGACGGAGGCGTGCGCTGTGGGGCTGCTTGTCGCCGGCACGGCGGAGACCAAGGAGACGAAGAAGGGGCCTGTCATGGAGGAGGCGCATTATCTCGGTGACGGGCTCTGGAGGCTGGCGACCGATTGAGGAGGCGGCGGCGACGCGAGAGGATTGTCTGGGGCATGTGTGCTGTATATTCGACGGTTGGGGCGGCGGCGAGGGGTTGGTGTTGCGGGTTGTAAAATGGGTGGCCTGGACGGGGAACGGGCCTGGGCTTTGGCCTGTAAGCGGCGTGGTGACTGGCACGATGAAATGATGACGAAATGCATAGATTGCGAGCATTTGGGCTACTCTGGTTCTGTTGTCTCCCGTCTTGTCGTGATATCTAGCGTGCCCCTCCGCATCTCATGTCTACTCGTCCCAAGAATGTGTCATTGTGTACCCTATGCCACTTCAGAACTGGTCTCCTGCTTCCGTTTGAGGCCCTTCGTCTCGAGCAGCTCCTCGTATGCTTGGTGATGCCGCGCCATTGCAGCTCGTCCCACCTCTTGGCCCTTTCGGCTGATAAAGTCATACACATTCTCAAAGATGAAGAACCCATCCTTGTCCCTCATCGGCGAATCCTCATCCGGCAAAACGCCAAAGCTTGTGTCCCCTTCGATGATGACCTTCTTCAATGCCTTGATCGTGCAACCTCGAGACTGGCAGGCGTACTTGTCGGTCGGGTCTGCGGCGGGAAAAGCGGCCTTGATGTCCTTCCACACCGTATCGATCTGTTTCTCTCGGATGTATTCATCCAGCCGCCGGTTGTATTCGGCTTCGACGTGGAAACGAGCAAAAGCCTCGTGCTTGATCTGTTCCCGAGACGTCCGCTGCGTCGTGTATCGACCCTCCTGACGGCAGCGTGGCACAAACTCGTCGATCCACTTGCTGAAATTCGGCCTCGAGCTCATCCTTTTCCGATCATTAGACTTGAGCTTCGCCTTGTCCTGGGCTGGGTCGTGCGTCCCCCCCTGATCGTTGGCTCCTTCCTTGCCGGGGCGAACCCAAAACATGCGACACTGAGCGACGTACTCGTACATGTCATTCAGCGTCGGAAATGGTGTCTCCCAGAATCCAGCAATTGGCAGGCCGAGAAACTCCAGAATCTCGCACGGGTCGTCCGTCAGTTCAATCTTGGCCTTGTTCTTGTTCGTCTGCTCAATCTCGGGGATGCGTAGGAACATGCGCTGCTCGTCGACGGTCAGGCCGTAGGGACGAATGACGGAGCCGAGGATGCTCCAAATGTCGCCGTGTGCGTGCTTGAACAAGCTCCACTGCAGCGAAGTGACTGACGGCGAGACGGTCACGTCGACCTGGATGTAGCGTTGGGGCTGCTGCTCGGCTGCGCAGCTATCGGCAGGAAGGTCCTTCGGCCAGGGAACGGCAAAATGCGAGCCGCCTCTTTCGGCCAGGACATACTCGGCTCCCAGGGCATACTGGATGGCTTTGATGACGGTTTCGGGCAATGCTTCTTCCCCGCTCCTTCCTGTGAACTCGCCTCTTGCGCAGGTCATCAGAACGTCGACATCGCCGTAGTCCCTCTTGGCAGGACCGTCAATGGGACTTGCCACGTAGATGTACAACTCGCGGAGAGCGCTCTTGCAACGGCTCTTGACCAGCTCGTATATGTGAGGCGGCATGCGGGGAGTGAAGAGCGGATTTTCTCCTGAAGCAAACGCTGAACCGCCCATGGTGCTGTTGCACTCTAGCAAGTGGGTTCGTCGACTTGGGTATGGTAGTGAAGGAGCACCCCTGTGGAGATTTTCAAGAGGCTGTGGTCGCTTTAGCTTGTCTCTTGGGTTTTCTGGGAAGCGTGAAGATAGCAGAGCTGCCAGCCATCAGTTACTCATGGTAGAGGAGCTTGGGGCAACCCATATGATCAATCACCGTGTCTCTTCCGGGGTCGAACAATGTAGCGTCTGTGAATACACTGGAAATTTCTGAGAACCGTTCATGGCACGCGAATATGGTATTAATAGTCGATCCAAATGCCTTGTTGCAACAACAGATACTGGTTTCGGTCGAGAGCTGGGGGTTGTCATCAGCATCGGCTGACTCATTCGGAGGACAGAGGCTGAGCAAACAGTTTCTCTGCAAGCTTTCAAACGGGCAAATCTGAGGCCATGATTGATGTCCCCTGTGTCTCGGGATTACTGCCCAGCTTCCCCAATCACTCTGGAGAACGAAGATGTGATGTGTGGCGCAGGTGAGAAGACGCTGGCAAGGCTGGCCATCCGTTTGTCCGTGCATTGGCGACTTTGACCATAACCGTGTGATACTCTTCTTCGACACTGTAGCTTCGCACGGTCTCGCCTTTTGTTCTTGCTGCCTTTGGAATCCATTTCAGCTTTGTAGATATTCCTCCATTGACACGATATTTTGAACTCGCCTTTATCACTCTAGTCAGATCTCACTTGTTGGGGATCATGTCTCTGTTGCACTATGCGACCATCAGGGCAACCAAGCTTCCGAACAAGACAATCATACACCAGTGGAGAGCTTTCAGCCATTGCTTTCGGACGATGCATCCTTGCCTCATCCGCGTTGAGCGAACGGTCATCTGCGCTTGCCAGGTACTCTTCAACTACGAGGTTCCTCCTCGTCTCGACGATTGAAGATGGAACCCGCGCGCAATAGTGGTCGTCGCATCGTTGGCCCACTGAGCACTGCATCATAGGCCATTGGTCATCGAGACCTCACACAGGTCAACATGCTCTTTCTGGTTTGGCCCCGCAAGCCAAGCTGCACCTGCTCTCTCTCGTTGCGGTTGCGGGCGTAGCAGCACTTGCTCTCTTGCCTTCGATATCGGAGCCTAATCACGGCATATCAGGCCTCGAAGCCATGCCCTTACCTTCCTGGACTTGCCTACTTCTTCCCTATCGCCTCCAGCTCCAAACCACGTCTCTTGCACGACCACTGCCGAGCAGATATCATCTCGATACTACTCTGTCTCGTCCCAGCACTGCAAATAATTCGTCACCGCCATGAGCTGGCTGAGCGATGAGACGGCGGCCTCGCGGTCTACCGGACCTGTCAGAAACCCCGCCGAGGCCGAGCTTCGTCTGCTTGACATGGACGGCAGACTGCCTCAGACTAGGGGCTATCGCAGTCAACGCCTCTCCATCCCAGTCCCTGTGGCTGACGGCAAGCGTAAAGCTCCCAATGGCCAGGTCATAAGTGCCGTCTTCGACTTCACCACGTTCACGGACCAGCTCGAGTTCTACTACGCACCTGATCGACATGTTCAAGCAGGGCTCCTCAGGATTCGCTAGTAAGTAATTCTTTTCTGGAAGAGCCCTCGGCCATGACTGATCCCCATGCAAGTGACAACTTCTACGTCGTCAAACTCTACACCAGAGAGAACATTGAGATCATCGTCCACCGCCAGATACTCATCGCTGGCTCCCTCTACTTTGACTCTGCCCTGCGCGGCTTCTTCCGCGAGGCCGACACAGCCGAGATCTCGCTCGATGATATCTCCTTTGACGACCTCATCGCGTATCTGAAGCTTGCCCACCGATACTTCTTCCTTCGATTCTCCGAGGAAGGCATGCCCTCTGGTAATCTTTGGAAAGCCCAAGTTGAGAGGTATGACCGGAAGATCTTCAGGAGGACTTGCTTCAAGATGCCCTTGATGGATCTTTGCTCCATCCTACGCATCTTCGTTCTTGCCGATCGCTTCGCTTCGAGCAGCCTCGTAGTTTTCATCCGCCAAATCTTCCTGAAACTCCTGGCGGCCACAAGGGACTTTTGGTTCGACAACAAGCACGCCAACGCCGATTACGAGCGCGAGGAACACCGCGCCTTCATGAACAACTATTTGGATGCGTACCAGCTCCTCACCAAGTACACATGCGCTGACGCCAAAGACTATCTCAAAAAATCCATCATGGAGTCCTGGGTCAAGTTCCTTGGTTACAACGAGGGACTCAAATACGCCATGAAGCGCAAGATAGCGGCCAATGGCGATAGATACAGCGCCTTTGAGGCCGCTTGGACAAAGTTCACAATGCCAGGGGCATTCAGACTCTTCGAGTCCGATGACTACATCGGCTACAATGAGGACGAATACTTGCGCAACAGGGCTTTTACCGCTGCATGTCTTACGCATTGCACAATGGAGCACCGCAACGCTCTCTTCGCGCAACTCAAGCGCCGCGCTCTCAAGCACAGACGAAGAGCTAGCATGGAGCAACGACCTTTTCCAGGTGAGATTACTTGGACATCGGTCGTTCGTCTGGCAGCCGGCGAGAATATCAGGGTTGTCAACGAGGAACCGCTCGTTGCCTCAGCTGCCGATTCCGATCTTTCACACGAGATGGAGACCTTGACCATGGAGGATGAAGCCACGAGCGACAACGACTGCGATCACACTGGTAGCAATGATACCTTCGACCTCCCCAACATCGACAATGTCAAATTGACACTGAGTGATTCCGAAGACTCGGACGATTCGTACTCTACCCAGTCCGATACCACCGATGATGGAGAGTGGGTGTCCTATGTACCGCAGCCCTACATGTCGCATTCACGAATCCTTGCGAGTGCGATCGACAAGGCAGAGTTGAACAGAGCGAGTGCCCAGAGTGCTGGTGTTGATCCCGCTGCTCAGCACTAGGGTGACAAGAAGGAAGATCAGCTCCAGCGCGGCGGCAATTTGACGGGCGGCAAGCTCCCTCGCAACGACGTCTCCGGCGGTCACCACAAGGCCCGCAAAACCAGCAACGGGAAGGAGCTGGAGCTCAACCGCGACTCTCCACATGCTCCAATCAACGACCCTGATTATCTTTGCGACGAGGAAAAGCAGAGAATCAAAGGCAAAGCCAAAGAGATTTTCCAGCCGATGGTTTCGGTTTGGGTACGCAAGAGCTTCAAGGGTCAGCAGAGGCTGGGCGGCGCGCATGTGCGAACAGCCTCAGCGGTTCGACGCTATGGGAGGAACGCTAAGATTTTCGAGTTGCTGCACGAGTACCGCCAGTGATGCCCTGCAGTATTGTACAGGTGTGCTGCCGTCTGTTCAGGTTTCGTTTGCAATATGCGCCTGCGCAGGAGATTGGCTTCAGGGGAATACGTGTCGCGCGATTGATTTGTCAAGGGATTTTGTACACTACCAGTTTCTCCAGTGTGGTCAGAATAGACCTGAGTCCATGAGCATCAAGATCAAGGTGAGGATGCCATTAGCAGCTCGTGGCCACTGTTAGCATCGTTCAGGCAATTCTATTTTGAACCACATCTTGCGTCGAGCGATGGCACTCGAGATTCTTCGGAGATTTCGCTTCGATAACACCTTGCGCTATCTTTGCCGCTATCCGACAGGAAGCAAGGTGGGTGCAATAAGCCGCCGTGTCGCCTTGACCACAGCAGTGGTTTCAGCGATGGTGACAGCCTTCCCGCAGCCAAAGATTGATGTGTTTTGACCACCAAGAACAACTTGACGCCTGAGTGTAAATCGGTCTTAATGGTGTTCTTGCGATCCTTAAAGCCGGCATAGGTCTCCCGCCTTCTCCTTGGGGAGCCAGGTGGTAAGATGAGCCCCTCCACTTCCCGATGCGTGACCAGCCTGCTGAGCTTCCATCGGCCCCACCACAACTTCTGACCATAGAGCTAGATGTGTCGGCAGTTGGGACAAGAAGTGGAACGCAGCAAATGGAAGATCTGAACCCGATTTTAATTCGTTCAAGTTCATTGGCGTGCTCGTGGATGCTGGATGTCCCGTCTGCGAGGCTGTCATACGCTATATCTCGGCGTGATGGCCGAGGGGTGGACGGGGGGGCACCGCTTGTTCACGTGCGTTTCGATATTGGTGACTCGAAGTCACATGTCGAGGACATTAGTGCTGGTTTTTGGTAAGGAGGCAAGTGATTTTTGGTGACGCCCATCATCAATCTTGGTGCATCAGGCCCCAGGGAGGCGAACCTCAATTATCTTACTCTGGGTGGTTTAAGATGCTCCAGAGGCTCTTGAAAGTACCTACCTACCTATGTAGAGCTCCCTCTCCCCAAAGTTTACTCCAATATCATGAACGGACAGTGTAGGGAACAACATCGCCGACTTGGCAATTAGCATTCAGACCTCGTAGAATTGTAGGCAAATCTTCGAGGAACGTATCACTGTCTCGGTTTCAAAAGAACGATTACTTGAGGGAAGAACACCTCCTCCTACTTCGTGATAATTCGAGATTTTGAAGAAATCCCAACCGAAGCCATGATGCATCACTTCACAAGCTCAGCGGACGGACTAGAGACTTAAACCGCATGCCAACGCGAGATGAGACTTCGAGGTTTATCCATGCTACGCGGCAATCGATACGGGTAAATTCGCTTGCGCATAGTCTCGTGATGTGGCACAGTCGTGAATCTCTCGGGAGTCGGCTCCAGCGCGGCGTCGGACGTCGGGCCCACTACGGTCGGAGACAACCCCGATGGCAGGCCATCCATGAGTCTCAGCTCAACACCATGCCAGGCCACGATCTCCGTGATCCGGCGTCCGATCACGGTGAAACGTATCTAGAGGCAAGTTATTAATACGAATATGGCCCTCGTCAGTTTTGGTGATCGAGACAACATTCAGTCTGCCAGTGTCAACATTCTCACCTCGTCACGACATCCTCCCCCACCATGCCGAATTACATCAAGTCCGCTCAGCGTACCTCAGCCGGGTTCGCGGCCTCTTCGCCTGAAGTCGCCGCACTCGTGAGCAACGTCATTTCTGAGATTCGAACCCAAGGTGACGCAGCTGTGCGGAAGTACTCTGCCAAATTTGACTCTTGGGACCGTCCTTCATTCAAGCTTTCTCAAAAGGAGATTGACGAGGCAATCGCACAGGTATCTCCACAGGTCATCAGCGACATCAAGGAGGTACAGGAGAACGTGAGGAAGTTTGCCTTTGCCCAATTGGCCTCTCTCACCGAGTTTGAGCTGGAGATCCAGCCGGGCGTGTTCCTCGGGCAGAAGAACAATCCCATCAACCGTGTCGGCTGGTAAGACAGACCCATGTTGCTCTGCTTCAGGGCACGCATTGGTCCTCAGAAAGAAGCTGACAATGCACCGTAGTTACATCCCCGGAGGCCGATATGCGCTGCTCGCCAGTGCACACATGACCATCCTGACAGCCAAGATCGCCGGCGTCAAGTCCGTGGTTGCCTGCACGCCCCCCATCGGCGGCCTCCTGCCCGTCGAGACCATCGCAGCCATGCACCTCGCCGGCGCTGACGAGATTCTCATCGTCGGCGGCGTCCAAGCCGTGGCGGCCCTGGCCGTCGGCACAGAATCCATCGCAAAGGTCGACTTCCTCGCCGGACCCGGCAACAAGTTTGTAGCCGAGGCCAAGCGCCAGCTCTTTGGCGAGATTGGCATCGACCTGTTCGCGGGTCCGACAGAGGTCCTTATCGTGGCTGACGACAAGGCTGACCCGTACACGTGTGCCGTGGACCTGCTCTCCCAGGCGGAACACGGCCCTGACACGCCCGCCGTGCTCATTACGACATCGGAGGCCGTGGCCACGAGAACCATTTCCTGGGTGGAGGAGCTTCTCAAGATTCTTCCCACGGCTCCCATCGCCTCAGTGTCCTGGAAGGATTTCGGCGAGGTCGCTGTGACGGAGACGCTTGATGAGGCTTTCGCCCTTGCTGATGAGTATGCTTCGGAGCACGTGCAGATCCTGACCGAGCGCCCCCGCGAGGCTTTGGAGAAGATGACGAACTACGGTGCCCTTTTCCTCGGTGAAAACACCTGCGTGTCCTATGGCGACAAGGTTCGTAGTTACCGAGAAATAGTGAAGCGCGGCTACTGACGAATGCGATAGTGCATCGGGACGAATCATGTCCTCCCAACCCTGAAGGCTTCGCGGTACACCGGTGGTCTCTGGGTTGGCAAGTACCTGCGAACGCAGACGTACCAGGAGGTGCGGAGTCCCCAGGCCAGCGGCGAGCTGGGCAGGCTGTGTGGTCGGGCGGCCCGGGCGGAGAAGTTTGAAGGCCACGCGCGATCTGGCGATTTGAGAGCACAGAAGCATCTGGGAGACAAGATTGCCTGGATTGAGCAGAGTCGTGTCATGACGTAAGGGGGAGACTGAACCTCACACATTCCCAGTTGAAAATTAGGCTAGAAATAAAATCATCGTTGCCTCATCATCCTAAGCGTTCCTGATGATACCTTGCTTCAACTGAGGGGAATTTGGTTTACCGTGACGAGTAGACCGCAATGTTCACTCAGTGTCATGTCTGGCGGTTTCGGGAGCTACATGTCACCTGAAAATTATAAACAGAGCTAAGGAGTCTTCAGCAGATCAAGTGTTGCACTTTGCAGCAGACGTATGGAAATGGAATCGCCATTCTAGACAGCAATCTTTTGATGCTAACCCCAATGTAGTCAAAGTGACAGATTTACATCATTTTCTCATTTTCAGCAATTCCTCGGAAACCGCCCTCGACATGTCCTCAGACGCAGTTTCCCACAATATCTTGAGGGCCTCGTGGCCACAACCTTTAGCGAACGTGTACGCGAGAGAGCTTCGGAACTGAGTGATTGCCGGTAGCACATCTTGACAAGCATCCCATCCATGGCAAAAGACCTGGACGGCGAGGTGACGGGCTGCCTCATCTTTGGACTGAAAGGCTCTGTTGCTCAGAGATTTCAGGCGGGCATGAAGAATGGCGTCGACTGACTTTGACGCTTCGCGTTTTATTGCCGCATTCTGGAAATAATCTGCTGCCGTCCAGAGTTTGATGCTTTTGGCAAGCCGATCCGATTCAGGCATGTTTTCGGAGCACACCTTGAAGGTGCTGCACAAGGCAGCTTGATACGCTATTGAGATGTAATGGCCCAAGTTCTGGGTGGTGATGATGCCGACTTCCAGTCTTATGATGTGAGTGCTGTTCTCTGCAAAAGGCTTCGTCAAGGCCGTCTTGAAATAATCGGATCCGTGGATGAGGATATTCTGATGAACAAGCCACTCTTGATCGCCACATTTCACGGTGATGATTGGCTGGGGGTCCCTGAAGATTCAAGTTAGTACATCTGGCTACACATTCGCTCCACAGAGTGAGAGCGGCGGGGACTTGCCACAAGTTGCACACTTGGTTCTTGACGGTCTCGGGCTTCTTAGTAGGAGCCTCGGCCCCTACTGGGGAAGCTGCGCTGGTCATGATGCCAGCTACTGGTGGTCCGAGCCTCAAGATAGATCCGAAAGGCTGAACACAAGATTGTACCGAGTTCGTCGACCCCAGCATCAAGGACATTCATGAGACCCACGGTTTAGGTTCAGGTGATGATGAACGAGAGCTCAGTGCCTTTTGTATCCGGAGGATGAGTAAGTTGTGTAGTATCTCAAAAGTCCGGAAATCCGGGTCCTTCTTTAGATAAAGAAGGGCATATTCCGTTATGGGCAGCTGCCTCGGCCGTGGGGTGTTTGTTGTGGTTGGGAAAGAACGCAAGTGGCCGCAGATTTATGTTACATTTCTCCAAGGACAATCACAAGACTAGGATAACTACAAGAGGCAGTCCTGGTGTTCCATACATTTACCGGAATATATGGGCTTGTCTATTTAAGGACCCAAAATACACCAACTGCAATTGCCAACGAGATCGTTGCCTAAGCTTAAAGGGCTGCGTCGTCGTCTGCATCAGCCCCTGAAATATGCATGTATTGATGTGAATACTGTCTATAAGGATATACGGCTTGAAGATTTAGGCTCCCAGACTGCATATGCAGACTGAAAGGTGTGGATACGTACATGTGGGCCTCGACCTCAGACTGTCATCTGCCTGATCGCCAACTCTTGAAGAGGCAACAGCCATGAAGGAGCAGTGCAACTTCATCAAAACATCATGAGCCAGCAGCACGGGGGCGCTCCTCAGGGGCACACCCGAAATAAGTCGGTCACAAAGTGTAAGTCGTCCGGGTGAAGCTGCATCTCGCAAGCTCCACAAGCCTAGACCAAGGCTCAACCACTGGACTCGGGCGGACTGAGCGACTCACGACATGCCATGGGATGGGCGCATGCTAATCCTTCAACAGCGTCTCGTCCAAGATCGTCGACTAAGGGTCCCCTCGATCTTGCAGAGTAGGACCCCATCTGATTTGGGGCAAGGACCATGCTGACGCTCCCAGCACCCCCCTCAACGACCCCCTCTCGTCTCCCTCACGCCTCGAACCCCTCCAGCCCAAGCGCGCCTCGAGCCAGCGCCCACCAGGCCACCCATCACCGAGCTTCCGCTCGCCAGCCCCGTCACCCGCCCCGCCTGCCGTGCGCGCCTCGATGACCAAGAACTTCAGCTTTCTGCTGCGCCCAGAGATCTACCAGCCCCTGCTGCCGCTCAACGTGCCCGTGGCCTTCCGCAACTCGACCAAGCAGCCGCGGCCGGATGCGCCACTCGCCGAGCTGCTCAGCCAGGGCCACTTCCGGGCGGCGGCCATCTCGGCCGTGCAGGAGCTGACATCCGCGTCGCCCCGCGCTGCGCCCATCGACCCGACCGACCACCGGCGCATCTTCGACCTGCTGTACACGCGGCTCGCGTGCCTGACGCTCTGCGACGCGACGTCGACGGCGGCGCAGGAGGTGCGGGCGCTCGAGGACCTCAACAACGCAGCCATCTACGTGGACGACGACACGGGCGAGCACCTCGTGCCGTGGGCGCTGCGCGTGCTCAACGTGCGGCTGCAGGCGCTCGGGTTCGGCGACCCGCGGCGCGCCGTCATGAGCTACCACGACCTCGCGCGCGAGGCGCGCGACCAGGGCGCGCGGGCGGCGGCGCGGGCGCTCTGGCGCGGGCGGCTGCACGACCTCGGCATCCAGGTCGCCGGCGCGCTCGTGGAGATGGAGGACCTCGCGGGCGCGGCGCACCACCTCGGCACGCTGCGGGACGGCGGCGACGGGCGCATGGCGCTGACGCGGGCGCTGCTGTGGCTTCATCTCGGGGACGTGGCTGCGGCGCGGCGGTGCGTGCGTGGAGCGCACCGGGGCGAGGGGCGGCATGCCGAGCAGGTCATCCTGGCGCTCTGCGAGATGGCGGATGGGGAGTACGAGGCGGCGCTGCGGCTGTGGCAGGCGCTCCGGCAGGAGGTCGACGACGAGATGGTGGGCGTCAACATGGCTGTGTGTCTGCTGTACACGGGCAACATGGACAAGGTGAGTCGGTTACAGGCAGCCAGCTCGCGTATTGTCATGCTAACAGGTGTAGGGCCGTGAGGTGCTCGAGAGCATGGCGGGCTCTGGTCGTTCCTCGCACACGCTGCTGTTCAACCTCAGCACCATGTACGAGCTGTGCACGGAGAGGAACCGCGCGATGAAGATCAAGCTCACGGAGAGGCTGGCAGGGCTGGATGCGACGGAGAGCGGGTGGGAGAAGACGAATGCCGACTTTAAGCTGTGATGGGTATGGTTGGCGCTACAGATGGCTACAGACTACTGAATTTCAACATGGCAATTCCCATGATATGTCATATCGTTGATCAGTGTAGCCAGGCCTGTTGGCAGGCATTCCGACATCTCTGGCAATCCCTCCCAGCTGGGACTTGGCAGCTCACAGCTGGCAACTGGCAGCTCACAGCTGGCATCTGCACAGGCCAGCATTGCGTGCTCCTGCTCGTGCCGTGCAGCATCCCCTGAAGACAAAGCCGGCCAATCGAAAGCAGGGGAGGCTGGGTGGAGCTCCCCCGCAAAAAGGTTCCTGATCCACATCCACAGCGCAGCGCCATCACGAGCACTGTGTACACTGCCTGCTTGTGCCGTATCTGCCCCATGTCCACAGTGCACCAGACGACACTACGCCGGACTCGGTACCTCGCCAGCTCGCACTGGACAAGCTCGCACTGGACAAGCTCTCCACTCGGAGGTGCGTGTTGTCAACAGCAAACATAGTTCATCGGACGTCATGTCACTCGGCAGCACACGCCCGCCGAAGGGGAACCTCTCAAGCCTCTGTCGTGCTCATGCCCACGCAGCCCGGGGCCAGGGCGACGCGTTCGCACGCTGCAAGACACAAGGGATCCAGCCCGTCCCGAGCCACTGCCCTGCTTGGCCCTTCCGTGGAGGAGCTGGATGCAGTGCCGATGTCGTAGTACTTGTCGCCAGCAGGGAAGGTAAGGAAAGGTACCTACCTACCTTCGAGTACATTACCTTAGTAGCAGCAGCAACTGTAGTAATCAGGCCAGAGATCCATCTAGAGCCGTAACAGTAGCACTCGGCAGCTGGTCAGCAGCAGCACCAGCACCAGCAGCAGCAGCAGCAGCACCACCACCACCACCACCACCTCCCTCTTCCTCGCACTTCACCTCCTTCTCCCTCCTCTTCACACTTCTGCTCCCCAGCCCTTTTCCATTCCTCCCCATCCCCCAACATCGCCAATCACCATCGAAACCCACCCCATTGCCATCAGCACCTCCGTCTACAGCTTCCGCTCGCCTCCGCCGTCTCGCTGTCTCCCCCCCGAGCATCCTCGAGAGAGAGCCGCTGTGCGCTTTGCCCTTACGTCATCGCCATGGACGCCAACCCTGCCCCCGGCGCTGTGCCAGCTGTCGCCGGCATTGACAAAGGTGAGCAAGCCGTCGACCATTTCGCAGCCCCATTCACAGCATCATGCATCGCCAATTTTGCCGTGTGCGCGCGCTCTGCCGTGGCGCGCGCGGCGCATTGCTGATCTGCCGTCGCCGGGAAGCGAGGGGCGGTGCGGCGCCAATGCGATGCGGCTGCCCGCTGCTGGGTCGTGTCTTGCGCACCAGCCAGCCGGCCAGCAAGCAAGCTGATGGCGAACCCACGTCCTGCTGATGGCCTGCCTCGCCTTTGCGTGTTGACACGCTGCTGACGTGCCGTCCAGTCGTAGCCGAGCCAGCGGCCGCCGCGCCTGCCACCGCCATCGATGCCCCCGCCACGGCCGCGAACCCTACTGCTGCCGATGACGCCAAGACGGCCGACGAGCAGCCTGCTGCGCCCGCGGTCCCGGCTGCCGCTGCTGCGCCCAAGGCGGCCACCGTCGAGGATGCCTCGGACAAGGGCACGCCCGTCGCCGTGTCAGGCGCGGCCGAGCCCTCGAAGCCCATCCCTGGACTGACCTCGTCCGAGGCCGCCGCGCCCGTCACGGCCGAGACGACGGCCACGGAGGGCGTCAAGGACGCCGCGGCTGCCGAACCCGCTGACAAGACGGATGTCACGGCCGACGAGCTCGTCCAGGACAAGCCCGTTGGTGTCAATGGCGTCGCGTCCCCGAGCAAGGACGCCGAGATGACGGGCGCTCTCAAGGAGACAGATGCCGCCCCTGCTGCTGCCCCTGTTACCGAGGAGCCCGCCGCCGCTGCTGCTCCTGCTGACAAGCCCACTGAGTCCAGCGAGCCCGCCGCGCCCGCTGCCGCCGCCGACAAGAAGCGCAAGGCCGACGAGCTCGAGCCCCGAGGGCGACGGCGCGGCGCCCACCAACGGCGACGCCAAGAAGAGGAAGCCCGGCCGCCCGCCCAAGGCCGCCGCGGCCAACGGCACCGAGAACGGCAACGGCCACGGCCACGGCGAGGACAAGGAGGGGCTCGGCGAGAAGCTTGCGAAGAAGGTCAAGAAGGTGCTGCCTGCGCCTGGCAAGACGGCGCGCAAGACGCGCAGCCAGGGTCCTGCTTAGGCTTGGACCGAGTCATTTGCTTCTGTGGCTGCAGATGGCCTTTTTGGGTTGCTAACGAGGTGGACTTGACGCGGTGGACTGGCATGGTGGCTGTGAAATGGTGGACTGACATGGTGGACGTGAAATGGTGGACCGACACAGCGGACTGACACGGCGGACATGGCAACACGTGGACATGGAGGTGGTGCTGGTGTTTCTGTGCAATGGGTGATATTTTTTCCCCTCGGTTTCTGGGTCTTGCGTGTTTTCAACGGGACAGCCTGACACGGTCGGATGATGGCTATTGTGATGACTGGCAGGCTGGGTCCGAGTTGTACATAGGATGATGGGCTGCGATAGGATGCGCGCAAAATGGAAGGTTCTGCTTTGTTAATGGCTTGCTACGGCCTGCTACGGCCTGCTCCGGCCTGCTCCAGGGCTCGAGCTGTGCAGTATGATATGCAGGACTGTGCTTTTCGTCTGGGTATGCTGATGCATGGTATGCCCTCAGGAGAGTAATCATTGGTGGCTACCTAGTTCAGGCCAGTTGTGTCGCATGGCACCCAGCAGCGACCGAGAAAATAGATGGCATTGTACGATCAGCAAGTGATATGGCGCGAGCTTTGCAGTGTAGTTCTCGTGGGAAGCCGTCATTGCAGAATCACAGTCTGCGCACTCGCGATGTCCACATTTCCACGTGAGAGGCGTACCAATCGAACACCTGCCAGTTGCCCGGCTCAGATCATGCTTGATGCTCGAATCTATCTATGCCTGCATCGCAGCGCTCGATGCAATCCCGACGCATGTCCACAGCTGTAGGCGACAAGTCGTCGCTGAAGCCCAGGTGCCATTTCGAGCCACGCTGCCTGGTGGCAGCAGGATCCAAGCAAACGGAAACGCTCACCGTCCACCGTTTCCACAACGCAAAACCGCTCGTCCCGGCCCCAGCAGACAGACGCCAGCGCCTGACTCAAACCCCCAACCCCCAGCACCCAGCACCCAGCACCCAGCACCCAGCACCCAGCACCCAGCACCCAGCACCCAGCACCCAGCACCCAGCACCCAGCACCCAGCACCCAGCACCCAGCACCCAGCACCCAGCACCCCCTCGTGTCGACCACAACAAACCAAGAGACGGGTTGCATTCCTCGGCGGCCTCACCTGTCCTTTGTGGCACTTCAGCACGAGCAAAGGCGCCGATCACAGGGTCCGCGGAGACGGAGGGCATCGGGGGCGGAACAGCGCGTGACGTCAAGGGATCAACAAGCGTGCTCCTTTTGGAACCTGGCTCCGCTGCAGTGCCAGAGTGCTCATCGTGCTTGGTCGCTCGCCAGATCTTGGTCCCCAATGCGCAGCAGCTTGTTGGTCCCCAAGCTCCTCCCCCTCTGGGGCTTCTGCAGTGGGGACCGTTTTCCCCCTTTGGGAACCTGTGAGAAGCTTGGTGCGTGCCGGTTTGAGCGAAAGCTGGGAGAGGGCGCCGATCGCGTTGGCGTGCTTGGCGGGCGTGGCAAGTTTAGAAGGGTCGAGAACCCTTGGGTTTTTTTTTGGTGGTTGTGAGGGTCGAGCCGGAACGACAAGATTCGTTGCTTTAGCATGGATTGGCCGCAGGTTTTCGAGCGAAGAAAGCAGCTTGTGGCAAGTGGCCGAGGGGCCCGGGGACCAGTCATGATGGCTTCGTACCTGATTGCTGGTCGCTCAACTCAACTCCCCCCTTGCCGTCCTGGCCATGTCGTTCAGCGACCCAATGGGCTCTGCTGCATCGAGAGCACGGATGGACATGGCCGACGAACGCCTGGGTGCTCGTCAAGAACCGACCTGGTCTCGCATAAACTACCGACTGAAGCACTGCCTTTGCGTGGGCCTCGTATTCCGACCCAGGCCAGGCTTGAGGGCGGCCCAGCGGCTGTCCCGGGGCGCCCCCACCCGACAGGCAAAAATAGCACAGGCATGCCAGCGACTTGCTGTCGATGGTGTGCACTCAGCACAGAAGAGGGCCTCAGAGGCCTGTGGATCGGTGCACGGCGCTCAGGAGGTCGGCCAATGGCTGGCATGGAGCACCTTAGGGAGGTCTACATAGTACCTACCTGTAGTGCCTGTAGTGCCTGTAGTGCCTTGACTGCGTGCCGCGGGAAGAATTTTCGGCGGCTGTCGACGGTTGTTTCGTGTCGAGGCGCTGACGACGCCGGCGAGGTACCTCGACGTGGGTGCAGGCCGTGCGGCGAGACAAGTCACTCTCGGAAACGCCAGACAACCGTTAGCCCACCGGTACAGTAGTACTGTCCCTTACCTGGCAGGCACTGACTTCATCACCAGATCCAGAATGCATGCCGTAGCGGCATGCTCGACACCCTCAAAGTTCTGCCTCCTTGTTCTGTTCCTGTGCCTGTTTCCTGGGGCATCCCTCCACCGACCCCATCCCCTCCATTTACCCTACCTACCTTACCCAGTCCTAACTTTTCTCTCGCCCTCTCTCCATGCTCGGCCCTCCTACAACACGACCGCCTAGATCTCCCACTCGCTAGAGATCGAACGCCGTCACGACACACGAGAACACGGACGCACAACGCCAGAAACACCAGCACAGCACAGCATTCTTTTCGTCCCTCGTTCAGCCGTGCTTTCTGGGGCCTGTTTCAATAGTCGACCAACGACCACAGACAGACACACACCCCGGACAGTCCACCAACGTCATTTCCCGGCTGTCAATTCCCGACTGTCAATTCGTCGTGGCCATCTTGCACCTTTTCGTCTCTCTCTCGTCCCCCTCGGCGACAACCATCGACAGCCAAGCGACGAAGACGACCCGTCGTTCGTAACACACCTACCATTGCGGCTGTTTGGTAGACCCCCTTCCTCGGGATACGAACGTCACCTGCCGACCTGCCCTCCTCTGGGCCCCGACATTACCTACACACACACAGAGAGAGAGAGAGAGACCATGGATCCCGTCTTCCAGAGGATAAGGGCCCGGCAAGACAAGTTTGATGCTGGCCAGGAACTGCTGGATCTCTTGCAGGACCCCTTCGCCGGACAGGTATGCTTTGCCGTTGAAGTTGGCCTTCCTTCCCACTGACGTGACCTCGACAGCTCCAACAAACCTCCTTCTTCGCTGCCCTCGGTACCTCGGTCCTGTTCACGCTCGGCATCGCCATTGCCTTCTCCTTCCTGCGTCCCTACAACCAGTCCGTCTACGCCCCCAAGACCAAACATGCCGACGAGAAGCACGCCCCGCCGCCCATCGGCCGCAAGCTCTGGTCCTGGGTCTTCCCCCTCTGGAGCACCACCGAGTACGAGTTCATCCAGTACGCCGGCATGGACGCCGCCATCTTCATGCGCTTCGTCGAGATGCTGCGCAACCTCTTCGTCACCCTGTCCGTCTTTGTCCTCGCCATCCTCATCCCCGTCAACCTCACCCAGGTCGACGTCTCGGGCGAGGGCCGCGCCTGGCTGGCCATGCTGACGCCCTCGAACGTCTGGGGCGACGCCCAGTGGGCCCAGGTCACCGTCGCCTACGGCATCAACGCCATTGTCATGTTCTTCCTGTGGTGGAACACGAAGAAGGTCCTGCACCTGCGCCGCCGCTACTTTGAGAGCGACGAGTACCAGAACAGCCTGCACGCGAGGACCCTGATGGTGCGTTTACCTGCCTCCTCTCATGCCTGGCCAGCATGACCTGACCTGCCCCCCCTTCATCCCTGGCCTTTCCTCATCCCTGGCCTTTCCTCATCCCTGGCCTTTCCTCATCCCTGACCAACTGACTGACCAAATGACAGCTCTACGATCTTCCCAAGGACCGCAGCTCCGACGAGGGCATCGCCCGCATCATCGACGAGGTCGTCCCCAGCTCCTCCTTCTCCCGCACCGCCGTCGCACGCAACGTCAAGGATCTGCCCAAGCTCATCGCCCAGCACGACCACACCGTGCGCAAGCTCGAGTCCGTCCTCGCCAAGTACATGAAGAACCCGGCCCAGCTGCCGCCCACCAGGCCGCTCTGCAAGCCCTCGAAGAAGGACCCCTCGTTCAGCACCTACCCCAGGGGGCAAAAGGTCGACGCCATCGAGTACCTCACGCAGCGCATCAAGACGCTCGAGATTGAGATCAAGCAGGTCCGCCAGAGCGTCGACAAGCGCAGCTCCATGCCCTACGGCTTCGCCAGCTACTCCGACATCACCGAGGCCCACAACATTGCCTACGCCTGCCGCAAGAAGCACCCCCACGGCTCGACCATCAAGCTGGCCCCGCGCCCCAACGACATCATCTGGAACAACCTGCCGCTGTCGGCGTCGACGCGCCGCTGGAGGCGCGTCATCAACAACCTGTGGATCACCCTCCTCACCTTCATCTGGATCGGCCCCAACGCCATGATCGCCGTCTTCCTCGTCAACCTCAACAACCTGGGCCGCGTCTGGCGCGAGTTCCAGACCGAGCTCGTCGAGAACAAGACCTTCTGGGCCTTCGTCCAGGGCATCGCCGCGCCCGCCATCACCTCGCTCGTCTTCCTCGTGCTGCCCATCATCTTCCGTCGCCTGTCGATCAAGGCCGGTGACCAGACCAAGAGCGGTCGCGAGCGCCACGTCGTCGCCAAGCTGTACGCCTTTTTCGTCTTCAACAACCTCGTCGTCTTCTCCCTGTTCAGCGCCACCTGGACCTTCGTCGCCGGCGTCATTAACAGGACCGGCCACGGCGCCGATGCCTGGGACGCCATCCTCGAGGAGAACATTGCCGACACGCTGTTCCTCGCCCTCTGCACTGTCAGTCCCTTCTGGGTCAACTGGCTCCTCCAGCGCCAGCTCGGTGCCGCCATTGACCTGGCCCAGTTCTGGCCCCTGATCTACAGCTTCTTCGCCCGCAAGTTCTCGAGCCCCACGCCGCGCGACCTCATTGAGCTCACGGCGCCCCCGGCCTTTGACTATGCACCCTACTACAACTACTTCCTCTACTACTCGACCATTGCGCTGTGCTTCGCCGGCATCCAGCCCATCACCCTGCCGGCCGTGGCCTTGTACTTCGCCATTGACGTCTGGCTGAAGCGCTACCTCTTGCTCTACGTCTTCGTCACCAAGACCGAGTCGGGCGGCATGTTCTGGCGCGTCGTCTTCAACCGTGTCATCTTCGCCACGATGCTCGCCGACCTCGTCTTCTTCCTGACCTGCTGGGTCCGTGGCGAGGGCGCCCACCACACCCACGCCCTCGCCATTGTGCCTCTGCCGTTCCTCATGCTCGCCTTCAAGTTTGTCTCCTCCCGCCAGTTCGACGACAAGATCCGCTACTACTCGACCCTCAACGTCGCCAAGCACCCCGAGAGCGGCCTCCAGAAGGAACAGCGCCTGCGCAGCGAGAGGCTCGCGTCGCGCTTCGGCCACCCGGCCCTGTACAAGCCGCTCATCACGCCCATGGTGCACCAGAAGGCCCAGGCGACGCTCCACATTGTGTACAAGGGCCGCCTGTCCGACGGGCGCGAGGCCGGCGGCATGGACGGCATGTCTGTCTCTGGCTACTCGGACACGTTTGCGCTGGACCCCATGAACGCCGGCAAGCCCGGCAAGCAGATGAACACGAACGTGCCCGGCTTTGAGTTTGTCTCGGACTCGCACATGGATTTCGAATTCTACAAGAACCGACCGGAGTTCGCCGACGAGCACGGTCAGGGCGACCTCTTTGGCGCCGACGCCGACAGGATGAGGCCCGGCACCCCCGGTTCGCACGGCGGCGAGTCCGACTACTCGCGCCCCGGCACGCCCACGATGAACGCCATGGCCGGCGGCATGACGGGCTTCAACCGGCCCCTCCACCGCGCGCCGACCCACGACTTCACCACGGCGGCGTCAGGCTACCACTCGCCCACCGGCGGCCGCGCATCGCCCGGCCCGGGCTTCCCGCAGGGCATGGGCTACAACCGCTCGCGCAGCCCGCTGTACGCCAACGCCCACGGCAACGGCAGCAACACGGCGCTCGTGCAGGACGCGGCGGGGCATGGGCATGGGCATGGGCATGGGCGCGCCGGCCCCCAGCTACAGCAACAACAGCGTCGGCGGGGCCCGCGACCGCAGCGTCGACAGCTTCCGCATGGCGCCCACGCCGGGACCCAGCACCGGCGCCCTCGGCGGCGGGCCGAGGGGATATAGCAACCTCCCTCAGGCCGAGGCGGAGCAGAGCCCGGGCGACGCGGACCCCAGCCAGTACGACTACTTCCGGGGCAACGCGCGCAGCCAGAGGCGGCCTGGCGAGGGGTGGTAGGGATGCCCGAGTGCATCTCTCGTTTCTGTCTGTTTTTTCCTCTTCTTTGTTTTGGATCGCACAAAGCACCGGGCGGCGTTGGCAGGGGATTTTGCCAAGAGACTTGGGGTCTTTTTGCCCCTCGCTCTCTTGTTCTCTTACACTGTACGGCACGGCAACGAGTGCGCTGTGGCCTGTTCATAATTGGGCGGTAGACCTGTACAAAGTTCATGATGGATGAAAAGCGCGGCACTATAGACTGGATCAAGTGTGGGGGCGGGTAGAGGTAGAAGATTTTAATCCACAATCCACATTGTAGAGTCACCGCGGTGTGGGCGGAAGTGACTCGAGAGGCGCGTGATGATTGCTCGTGGTATGACTGCGGTGCCTTCGCCTTCACGCTTGAATGCCTTGTGGCTGCTCGACCGATGTTTACAAAGTCGGCATTCCGCCAATCATCATCTGACCAGCTGCAGATGCAGATGCATATCCTGATTTTCAGTACGTTGAGAGTAGTTACTTTCATGTCCCAGCCCGGCAGCATCTTCACAAGCATGAGCATCACTCGGACGCCCAGTCACCAGCCGATGGCCACGTATCAGTACTCCCCCGTCGACGATAGGACGATCCGGCTCGTGACGCTCCTCCCCGGCACGCCAGCCGACACCCTCTCTGTCCATCTGCATGCGCACTCGCTCGACGACGCCGCCGCGCTCCCGGACTATGAAGCCCTCTCGTACGTCTGGGGCTCGCCCGCCGAGTCCTTCCCCGTGACCGTCGCGCCGCCGTCCCCCGCGACCGTCGACGGCGGCGCGACGCTCACCGTGTCGCGCAACCTCCACGAGGCGCTGCTGCACCTGCGCGGGCCGGCCGCGGCGCGCACCATGTGGATCGACGCCCTGTGCATCAACCAGCAGGACCTCGGCGAGCGGGCCGCGCAGGTGCAGCACATGGGCGCGCTGTACCGCGAGGCGGCGCGCGTTATCATGAGCTGGTGGGTAGTGATGGCTTCGGCGCTTTGAAGGGGACGTGCGAGCAAGGGCGTGCAATTCATGAAAAATCTCTCATTGAGAGCCTTTATAGAACGGCGTTCCGTGTGTCGTCCGCCACAGGAGTACACAGGATCATAATCGATTCTCACGCAGA